GGGGGGTGGGGGGGTGTGGGGGGGGCGTCATATGGGAGTCATGTGTTTGTTCACCCCCCGTCTCTGCCTCTAAGCCTGCCCCTGCCCCTGGTCAGGGTGTGATGGACATTGTCTTTGTCCCCACCCTAGAAGGATTTTGACAAGAGCAGCTGCCAGCAGCAGACTTCTCAGAGGATCTCGTTCTATCACCTCATGTGTCTCTCGGCCAACGTTCTGGCCACCTCCCCTGAAGAGGCCCCCCCTGGTACGTGTCAAACCTGTTTGTTCTACTCATTCATCATATTTGTTACTGCCACTGCGGTTGTGAACCTGTAGAGCTGTGCAGTAACCAATCAGGGGAGAGATAACACAGAATTCAAATCCAGCTCTAATGAAATCTTCTTCCTGGTTTTCTTTCTCTCCTCGTCACAGGCTGCAGGTTTGGTGAGTACCAACCGTGTCCCCTTCATACACTTAGGTCTGCATGTGTGTGTTTCTGGTTCTGTCCTCGTGGCCGCTCTCCTCAGTCCGACCTGGAGGTCAGAGTTCAAGATTAAGAATCTGGGTCAGGTTAGAGTCAGGTGTTTCAGTGGACTGAGTGAGACGAGGATCGACGTATTGATCGATTAGATTCTTTGATCAAACCAAACCTGAACTCATGTCCACTTGTGTTCTCTTTGCAGACCCTGTGTGTGATCTTTACTCACAAGTGACTCCGTCTGGTAAGTCATGGTCATTTCACCTGTTAATGAGGCTAAAGTCTCCATTCACGCTGCACTGTCCATTCACACAAGGGGGCGGGGCCAGTACCAGACCAGACCAAATACTGAACTTATCTGGCTAACATTATCTGGCTAACATTATCTGGCTAACATTATCTGACTAACATTATCTGACTAACATTATCCGGCTAACATTATCCGACTAACATTATCTGACTAACATTATCCGGCTAACATTATCCGGCTAACATTATCTGACTATCATTATCTGGCTAACATTATCTGACTAACATTATCTGGCTAACATTATCCGTCTACCATTATCTGGCTAACATTATCTGACTAACATTATCCGGCTAACATTATCCGGCTAACATTATCTGACTATCATTATCCGGCTAACATTATCCGGCTAACATTATCCGACTAACATTATCTGACTAACATTATCTGGCTAACATTATCTGACTAACATTATCTGACTAACATTATCTGGCTAACTCTTCCATATTCTGCTAATTGTTCTTCACATTAGTTTGTGACTATTTCTCCCATAAGTCTTTTGGGCGTTTGCTACAACAACTTGTTTCATTTCCTTTTCCTTTTCAAAATTCATCGTCGACCTCTGCCCTCTGTGCCGCCCCTCAGACCCAACAACAGACGCTAACAAAGATAACAGGCCAATCAGGAAATGGTCCATTAGAAATGTCCAGGATAGTTTCATAACGACCCCCGCCCCTCAAGGTTCACAACCCAGCTGAGCCAGTAGAACGTTGAAAGGTCAGGGTCCACAGGGTAGAAGAGTGGATTGTGGTCTTGCCTTACAGCAAGAAGGTCACCTGTTTGAGTCCCAGTGGTAACTGAGGATCGTTCTGTGTGGAGTTTGAACCAGCAACCGTGTCACTGTATCTTTGTGTCAGCATCAGGTGAAAACACAGGAACTGGTTGAACTGTTGTTAGGTTTTAGCCCCAGGGAGTGGCAGATTTCTCAGATCTATTAAAGCCCCAGAGGTAAAACACAGAGCGTGGGTGTGTGTGTGTGTGTGTGTGTGTGTTCGTATAATGTTGTCACAAGAACATTTATTTTTGATGTGGTGACTGTATGTACTTGGTCGTCGACAGATCTTCACGACGTGTTGCTGCGTACTGTGGAATACTCGTCTAATGAGGTTCAATTAGAGCGGCTTCATTATCGTCATTATGAACACATTATCTTTTGTTCTGTTGTTGTGGTTAATGTTCACATCAGTGTTGGACTGTGTTCAACCTCTGGTTGAGGCCCGAGATGGTGGCTCAGCCCCCTGCTGGTTGTTAGCTCGTTGATGACATCACTTATTCTGAGTCTGTTCTGAACAGATCTAACACTCACCATGAGGTGGCGCATTTCTCTTCCTCCCTTCTTTTTTGTTGGACTAATAAACCTAACTCTTGGCCTTCGGCTGCTCTTGCTGTCTGCACCGTCCATGTTGTAAGACTTGATGTCTGCCTGCAGTCGTAGATCAGACCAAAACACCACCAACAGTGTCGACAACCACACCTAAATCAACAGAAACAACAACTGGACTGACACCACCACCACCAACAACAACAACAACAACAACCGCAGCAGTAACAGCAGCAGCAGCAGCAGCAGTGACGCCTTACAGCAGCAGCAGCAGCAGCAGCAGCAGCAGGTTACATACAACCGCAGTCATATCAAATGGTGAGTTTTAGAACTGGATGAACTGGTGCATCCATTGCACTGATTGATCCATTGCATCCATTAAACTCAATGGTGACTGAGGTTAGCTTTGATGCTAACGTCAGCTGCAGCTCTGGTGTCGACTGGATGTGACTTTAGAAGCTTGAATATGAAGAATTGATCTGGATTTATCCCTCTGTACCAGAGGCTGTGTTTCACCTGCCGCAGCCTGACAGGGGAAAAACAAACACTTGACTAATATCACCCCCCTCCACCCCGCCCCCACACACACACACACTCAGACAGGCCAGAGTTTAAAAGTGGATGGAGCGGGAGGTGAGGATTTTCTTTTTTTGATAATGATGAAAACATCAGAACAGATGTGAGGTTCTACAGCATCAGCATTTTAAAACAACACGGTGGAATTTTGAGAACTTCCTGTTTCTCTAACAGAATTATTGCAGAACAAGCCGTGGAAGTGGAAATGTTTATTTGCCGTCTTTGAGATTCTGCCAAAGGAAAAGGGGCAGAGACAGAAAAAAGAACGTGATGTGAACCAAGAATATTATGAAAATAAGTTGAAAACTAAGTCAAGTTAAAAAAAAACAAAATTCTTCAAAGTTACAGCCATGTTTTAAAAGTTGTTCCAAAATCTGAGTTGAACATGTGAGTATTTGACCAGTCACCATGTGACCAGATACCAGTGCTCACCATGTGACCAGATACCAGTGCTCACCATGTGACCAGAGACCAGTGGTCACCATGTGACCAGATACCAGTGGTCACCATGTGACCAGATACCAGTGCTCACCATGTGACCAGATACCAGTCCTCAGCCTGTCCTCAGTCTGAGTGCTTCAGTAAACATGTTGAACATCCTTTTAGTTGTCTCTGTCCTTCCACCAGGTGGCGCCACATTAATCCTGTACCTTCTGCTGATGGCCTTCGTCCTGCTCGTCCTGCTCGCCCTGCTTGCGTTCACGGCGGCTGTTTGGTTCTGCAGGAGGATGCGGGGCCAGTCACAGGAACAGAATGTAAGGGACACGTGTGTGTGTGTGTGTGTGTGTGTGTGTGTGTGTGTACATGATCACTCTGCGCTCTCTGAGTCTGAGTCTGTGGATGTTGAGTTCCTAAGAGACTCAGTGAGCGACCCCTGCAGGCGTCTGAACACCGGTACACATGAAGTGAATGTGTGTCCGCGGTCTTTGCTTCCTGTGTGTGTGAGGTGTTGATAAAGCATGTTTCCCCCTTGTGGTGTGGAGATGCATGTGGCCACTGTGTACCATCCTGAGACCCCGCCCCCTGGGTTGACCTCTGCTGTCTCAGTAAAATAATAAACACCTTGTGGTTTTGTAAGTAACACGTTCACTTCACAGAGCTTCTATTAATGAATCCTGATTAATTAAGATGAATTAGGAAAAATTGGGATAAGTCAACATTCCTGAATATAATACGTAAATATTTTGGTTTATTTGTGGCTGGTGCGGACAATTATATAAAAATATAACAAATCTTTATTCCAAGTATCATGAACGTAAATTCCATGTCACTGAAAAATGTAAAAATGTCCAGATTTGATGCCACAGAGAAAAGTGTTTTCAGTAAATGAACTTCAGTCTGTTTTCTTCACTTTTTTTGTTTTTTCGTTTGTTTCTAATCAGGTTTCTGAGCGAGGTCCAGAGACCGTGTGCCTGGACAAGTCGGTGGAGGGTTTGGGCTGTGACCATTTTTAGGTCCACTCTGTAGTTGGTCCAACAGAACAGAGAACTGAGGTTCAGGTGGAACAGACTCTGACCTGGACATTTTTCTCAAAAATGGTTTGCTCCTCAGTTTGCACCTCCCGAGGAGCTGCTGCTGTGGCAGTCCAGCACCAGGTCAAAGGTCAACGATGGTTCGCATCAGACTGAAGCTGAAGTCTGTGTAAACAAAGAAAAATCCCTTCATATTTGTCCATATTTATAGCAGACTGAAGAGTGGACGCTCACAGGCCGTGGAAACAGATCAACAGACCAAAGGACAGACAGAGTGTTTTTTTGTTGTCGCCTCTTTCTGTGGGAACTGAGTTCAAAGGTGAATGAGAAAATAATTCCATGTGCAGTTTAATATAAATGAAGGAAGGACATTTTCACTCATATAGTACGTCTGCGGGGCAGTGGTGGATTGGTGGTTAAGGAAACGGACTTGGGTCCGACCAGCTAGTAAAAGTTTGACAAGTGCATCGTCATCATGATTGGACAACCATACGAAAGGGTAAATTTGATGTGAATCCATCTTCTACTCCGACTCCAACTATCTGCATGTCCTCCGTCACTGCATCCATATCTCTCCTACCTGGTAGTTCCATCTCTGGCATCATCTTCTACTGATATATCCACTGTCCATTCTCTGTCATAGTGTATAGTAATAGTAATAGTTTCTAGTAGTGTAAGCGTAATCCGTGACTTTTTTTTTTTTGCAGTGTTGTGCATGACTAACTATACTGAATGACTAACTATACTGAATGACTAACTATACTGAATGACTAACTATACTGCATGTCCGGGAACAGACCCAAGACCTGAAAATCAAGATGTTGTCCCATATCCTGATACGTTTTTTCAAGCTAAAGTTACATTTGGTAACTCCTGCTGTTTTGATACAAACTAAATTTCTTTCGGTCGAGTTAATACGTAATTCTCCAGTTAAAACGTAATTCTCCAGTTAATACGTAATTCTCCAGGTGAGCTGCGCTTTGTTCCCGTACGCTGACTAAAGGCTTTTATTCTGAAATATCGTACAGGAAGTGCTGACATTGTTGACGCAGAGCGTCTGCATGAAACTCTCTGACCAAGCGCGGTGAAAGCAAAAGGTAAACACATGTTAATGTACACGCTTTCTCTACTTGCATGTGTGTGTGTGTGTGAGATACAGTAATAACACGTAGTACAGTGTGTATCTGCAAATAAACGACAAACAGCGAGAATGTGTGTGTGTGTGTTAAAACTAAGCTAACGTCTTCAAACGGAAAGCAGCGTGGACAAAACTCATTGGTCGGTTTAATACAACGTGATAAAGTTAAACATGTAGTTTTTCTTCTCTTAAATGAAGAACACTTCGCGTTTGTGTTTCATAAATAAAGAATAATTAGCCGAGTGTGAATGCAAACTGTGTTGCTAAGCTAGCTGAGGGTTGACGGTTACCGAGGCCAACTGTCGTTAACGCCGCGGTCGTTGTTAGAACTGCTTTATGTTTCACGGAAATCTCTAGAAGGAAATGCAGTAACACTGTCACAACAGAGGAGTTAGACGTTTGTGTAATGATAAGTAATGTTAAGTTAATGAGTTGCAGTTCTACCCCCTGCCACCAGAGGGCTGCAGATATAATGTATTCCCCGGATGTGTGTAGGTTAGGGTTAGGGTTAGAAGTCATCACGGACGAATAAGAGTGATGACAGCGTACCTGTATGCATGCTTACACCATCGTTAATAAACGTGTTCAGTGAAGAACCCAAGTTTCTTTATTTACTTAAGAAACATTACAGTTTGTATTTATTATTTAGCATGACGTCATACGAAGGGACTGACGGGAGACACGGTGTAACTGTCTGCGGTTGAACTCTGTTTTCGATCCTCAGTCACGGTGTGAATGTGGCCGTAGCCATGACGACAGACTCTTCCCTCCTCAACTCAGAGCTGGAGTTACAGCAGCAGGAGGAACTGTATCAACAACTGCTGTTACAGGTGACGGCACGTTTCACCATGACGACCTTTACGTCACATATTAGTTCATATACACAGCATCAACCTTCCAGAAACACGTACATGTTAATATAAATAATAAATAAAGTCATACAATATGACGTCACTAAGAAGTAGGTTCAGAGTTTGTTTTTGATGAAATAATGTCTGTCTGATCTGAGGACGTAACGATGCACGATTTAGTTTAGTTTTTTCACAGCATGAGCTCCAGTCAAATTAAATACAAAGATTCTTTGTTTGTCAGAACTATGTAACATGACATTACAACTGAAACAGTCTAATGTAACTCATTAACTGAAAATTGTATAATAATAAATCAAATAATAACAAAAAAAATGCATATTTTAAAATCTCTGTTGGTGAAGAACTCTGTTGGTGTCTGTGGAACACGTTCTTCCCACGTTCTGTTCCAACACCTGAACGTCTCTCAGCCTAAGTAGGACCTGACGTCTGGGTTTAACAGTCGGTCACAACTGACGGTTTTCTTGAGATAATTGTATCGCATCCTTACGTCCCCGGTCGGATCTGAGGAGACATCTCAGCTCTTTATATTTGATACTTTTATCTCCTGTGAAAATACTCCAGTTTAATTACTATTAATTTTGCCTTAAAACCTTCTAAATATAGAGTATTATTAGAAATAAAACACGTTTTCTGACTTTAATAGAAGGAATTCTGGGACAAAGTTCAGACTGTGAAACAAACCCTGAGGTGTTTGACTCTTCAGTCCCAAAGTCTTCTTTCTCCCCTAAGAGCGTGGGAAAGCTGCAGAGCGAGAGTCCAAGCTCTAAAGTCATCCGCCCAAAGCCAGGTGACCGTTTCCTCATCACATTCTTTTCCCAGACAAAAGAAAAGAGCCAAAAGTGGGGACCTTCAGCTTCTAGCTCTCATCATATCTTCACTACAGGCATATGTGTGAAGACGGTCTTGGAGGGAAACAAGGAAAAAGTTTTTGTCAACATCTGTCAATCAAACTCGGTCCCACCTCCTCCTGATCTCTCCAGAGAAGAGCTCGTAGAACTGCTCCAATCAGAGGATCCCAGTGGCTACAGAGTTCCCATGAGCCTCGGCGAGCCACATTCAGAAGTAGACAACAGTGAGTATCTGAAGCCAAACATCAGTGTGTGTCTGGATTAGATCTAAACAGAGACGGAGTGTCCTCCATCAGTCTTTCTGAGGTCCTCAATCTCCCCCAGATGTTCTGTTTGGTCTGTAGTGGGAGGCACAGACCTAGGCACAGACACAGGAGGAGACTATTATATGGACTGTTCTACTGCAGAGTTAGAACAATGACTTTGTTAACTCCAACTAAACCAGGAGGAACAGAAATGTTTACTTCCAGTGTGACAGAATTCAACATCTGTCCAAGAACCTGAGATGTTCACACGTCAACAAAGTCATTATAGAAACGCTGGAGGAAAAAAGGGCTTGTTTTTTAAGATTTTTGATTGTAGATCAGGATCAATTAAAATAAAGATAAAAAATCTTTTTTATATTAAATCTCTGAAACTAGATTAGCAACAATACTAATAAAGTTATTGAATCATATTGTGCCAAACGGCTACAGATAATGTAGACATTTATTTAGTATATTTAGCTCAGCTGCAGTGACCTCAGTGACCTCAGCTGCAGTGGCCTCAGTGACCTCAGCTGCAGTGACCTCAGCGGCAGTGACCTCAGTGACCTCAGCTGCAGTGGCCTCAGTGACCTCAGCTGCAGTGACCTCAGTGACCTCAGCTGCAGTGACTTCAGTGACCTCAGCTGCAGTGACCTCAGCTGCAGCGACCTCAGCTGCAGTGACCCCAGTGACCTCAGCGGCAGTGACCTCAGTGACCTCAGCTGCAGTGACTTCAGTGACCTCAGCTGCAGTGACCTCAGTGACATCAACTGCAGTTACCTCAGCTGCAGTGACCTCAGCTGCAGCGACCTCAGCTGCAGTGACCCCAGTGACCTCAGCGGCAGTGACCTCAGTGACCTCAGCTGCAGTGGCCTCAGTGACCTCAGCTGCAGTGACCTCAGCGACATCAACTGCAGTGACCTCAGCTGCAGTGACCTCAGTTACCTCAGCTGCAGTGACCTCAGCTGCAGTGACCTCAGCGGCAGTGACCTCAGTGACCTCAGCTGCAGTGGCCTCAGTGACCTCAGCTGCAGTGACCTCAGCGACATCAACTGCAGTGACCTCAGCTGCAGTGACCTCAGCGACATCAACTGCAGTGACCTCAGCTGCAGTGACCTCAGCGGCAGTGACCTCAGTGACCTCAGCTGCAGTGGCCTCAGTGACCTCAGCTGCAGTGACCTCAGCTGCAGCGACCTCAGCTGCAGTGACCCCAGTGACCTCAGCGGCAGTGACCTCAGTGACCTCAGCTGCAGTGACTTCAGTGACCTCAGCTGCAGTGACCTCAGTTACCTCAGCTGCAGTGACCTCAGCTGCAGCGACCTCAGCTGCAGTGACCCCAGTGACCTCAGCGGCAGTGACCTCAGTGACCTCAGCTGCAGTGGCCTCAGTGACCTCAGCTGCAGTGACCAGTCCCAGGACAAAACAAGGAACATTCAGTCCGGGTGACCTTTAGATTGACCACAGCTCGACACCCCCCCCCCCCTTGTGTTCAAACATATTTGAGCCCAAAGATGAAAAATAAATAACAGACCAAACGAGTCCTGTTTAGACTGTAATGGTTTTCTTTTCTCTGTTTCAGACTCACAGTGTTGTTCAGCCTATGACGTGGTGATAAACCAGGAGTTCTTCCAGAGCTGCCAGGTCTGTGTGTGTGTGTGTCTGTGTGTCTGTGTGCGTGTGTGTTTGTCCCCTGATCTTCCAGAGTTGTCCAGCAAAAAGTGAGTGAAACAAACAACAGCCTTTTTGAAAACCAAATGAGTAGAAAAGTCTTTAACAGTGAAGCATGGACAGCATATATTGACCAGTAATGCAGACTGAATAAAAAAAAAAATAGGCTGTGTTACCTGTTGTGAGTTTGAGACCGATCTCAGAAACACATCAGTCATGTTTCGCCTGTTTCCTGTTTGTCTAAACGTCAGTGACAGTAACGTCAGACCACCAATGTTTCATGAGGGGTGAGGGTGGGGCAAATGAGGGAAGTGGGGGGGTGGGGCAGAAACGGTAGTTTTATAAATGTATTTTAGTCCAAGATTACATAAATAAAAACATAATAGAAAGGACCTGTACCGTGACTGGAAACATATCTGTCACCGTCTGGGATGAGCCGCAACCACAGCACGTTGTTTTACTTCTTCATCTGTGTTTGTTTAAACCAGTTAGAACTTTTTGATTTTTTTTTTTTTTATCTTCCAGCTAGAGATGTAGCGATGCATCGTGAATCGGTTAAAAATCGCTACAAATGCGTGAAAATAAAAAAAAAAATAGGCTGTGTTACCTCAGAAAGTCACTGGTCAGACCATGACACTACACACTCTTGTACAGTAGGTGGCGCTATGCGCCTCAAACAGTTGGTCCTCTGTCCTTCACTGTCTCTGTGCAGCAGTGTGATGATGAGACCCCCCCGTCTCCTTGTCTCCTTGTCTCCTTGTCTCCTTGTCTCCTACAGAACGATCCCTTGTTTCAACAGTTTGTGATCCTGGTGTCGTTTGAGGGTCTGGAGAACAAATACAACCTGGAACTAAGCCGAGGTCAGTGTGTGTGTGTGTGTTTGTGTGTGTGTGTTTGTGTGTGTGTGTGTGTGTGTGTGTGTGTGTGTGTTCTGGGTGGGCGGTTGTTTTTAGTCCACAGCTGTGGCTGAGTTCTTTTCTTTTCTTTGTTCACTGCAGACTGGAAGGTTCTGAAGAACAGGAAGTTTCTAGGATCGATCAGTGAGCAGAACATCAGGACCAAGAGCAAACCAGTGATCCAGGAGCTTCTGTCTCAGTATGTTGACTGTCTGGACCTCTGTGATGTCACGGTCGTTGCTGTCAATCGCACGCGTTGTCTTTTAGCAGTGCTGTTGATTTGATGGTTTGATTCACGCTTCAAAAATGTTTTACTTGGAGTCAGAGTTTAAAAAAACAGTTGTCCTCAGTCCAACACGGGCTGGACGTCCTCTGGTGGTGTCTGTGTTGGATCAAGCTGTCACAGTTCTCTTTCCTTTTATACTAACAGATGTCCTTTGAATGACCTCCCTTCTCCTTCTCACAGACCAGTAGGAGGCGCCACCGCTACAAAAGCCAAAAGGTTTATTATTTTTCATTATTACTGTTGTTATTATAATTATTGTTGTTATCAATTTGTGTGTTTAAAAAAATCCCTCTCTGTAGACCAGAGTTTACTTTGCTTGTGGAGCCCCCTGATGGTGATCCTGAGTATCTTATAGCTGAAATCAGGCTTCCTGGAGTGGTGAGACACACACACACACACACACACACACACACACACACACAATAACATAATATGAAGAGAAGAAAAAGTGTCAGTGTAGAAAAATGGTGTTTGACCTCAGAACTTCAGGGTCACCACGTCAGAACAAACCTTCACTCATCTGTGTCTGTGTCTGTGTCTGTGTGTGTGTGTGTGTGTCTGTGTGTGTGTGTGTGTGTGTGTGTGTGTGTAGCCCTCCTCTGGATCTCTGCTCCTGGACCTGGGGGAGGACAGACTGGTGCTGACCGCTCGTCCCTCTCTCTTTCACCTGGACATCTTCCACCCCCTGCAGGTGGACCAGGAGAACAGCGTGGCACAGTTCAACAAGAGCACAGAGGTAAAAGAATCAATCAATCAATCAATCAATCAAAGTGCACCAAGCTCCGGGGTCGTTGTTAGCCGTCGTCGTCTCCGTCCGTTTGCTGTTGCTGTGGGGAGAAACCCTAACGAAGACTTTCCTTTGTGTCCTCAGATCCTCACAGTCACCATGCCAATTGTGTCGACATGAAAGTTTTTTATTTTTATTTTTTTGTTTGAAAAAAATCATGATGTGCTAATAAAAAAAATATTTTTCAGCAGAATCTTCTCTCTCTGTTCTTATTGGTCAATGTCCTCACTTTTCTGTTTTGTTTTTTTTAATAAATCGGCATGTTACGATTTTTCCTCAATTATCTGTTGAGGAGAATCCGTTCAGGATAAATAAGTAAATAAAAAAATACCAACTCTGAATGTCAAACTCACACAAGTCCAAAAAACAAAATAAAGATTTATTCAAAAACACTGAATAAGCCCCGCCCTCAAAAGTGTCCACACCCACGGACACGCCTCTTGTCTGAAGTGAGTGTGACTTAAAGCTGAACCAAGGACGAAGATTGAACAGGTATTTAAAAAAAAAAAAAAGAATATTTAGTTTGTTTACTGTTTCCATCCATAAGTACTTTCTTCGCCTGTCCTAACACTAGATGTCACTGTTTAGCTAGTGTGTTTCACACAGCACGCTAGGTGCTCTATGCTATACATTAGCGAAATGCTAATTACGTTCGTATTTAGAAAAGAAGTCACTATAGAAGTTTCAATGTGGATACAATGTTATAAATCTGGATCACAACCGGCTGCTGGTACTGGTACTGGTTCTGGTTCTGTGTCCAGGTGTTCAGCAGAGGGTCGGACCGTGGCCGCACTGACACCTGAGTTAGCCGTGAACAGAGGCCGAGGAGAGACACGGAGGACCAGGAGACACAGGTCAGTCACAGCCGTGTAAAATCCACAGGAAGATTTTGGAGCCCTCACTATGACGTCATCACTTCTAAAAACATACAGTATGTGCGCTCTGTTCGCGTGTTACTAGTTTACTTGGTGTAAATAAGTGATTGAACTTGAATATGGAAAACAGCGCTGCCTGTTGGCCTGAGTTTTGAAGTGCAACTTGATCACCTGGTCCTCCCGGACACCGACAGTCAAACGACAGTCAAACGACAGTCAAACGACAGCAGGAGACATATGGACGAGTCTCTGTGGCTGCAGGACTTTCTCCCTCAGAGCTTCAGTCATCTTTCTCTCCCCCATTTGTTCTCTGAGGTCATCCCTCTGTCCTCCCTAATCCTGCAGCCGCTCATCTTTCTGCCACTGTTTAATCCGCCTGCACACACACACACACACACACACACAGCCAGTTATTCTTGTATTGAATACTTGGACGCTCAGTAATTCACACAGCATGCATTCTATACACACACAGTCATGCTCCAATAGCACACACACACACACACACACACACACACACACACAGCCCGTGCCGTATAAAACCCCCAGTTTCCCTGAATGTCATCCATTCTCCGTCCTGTCCTGTCCTGTCTCTGCTGACTCCACACCTGTCCACAGGTACGTCTCTCATCGTCTCCATCGTCTGTTTGTCCTTCAGTTTGGTCTTTGTCTCTGGTTGCTGTTATGGTGTTAGCGTACAGCGCGTTGTCAGGTCGGTTCTACGTATCTCTGCTGTCAGACGTCAGGTCCATCAAAAACAACACCTGTTTACAGTGACCTTAAACAGATTTAAATTCACTCATACTAGGACTGTCCTCTGGAAGACTGTCCTCTGGAAGACCGTCCTCTAGATGGATTTTCCTTAATTCCCTGCTCCATCATATATGTCCTCTGAGACTGCGTCCTCTAGATGGATTTTCCTTAATTCCCTGCTCCATCATATATGTCCTCTGAGACTGATTGATCAGTGAGTCAATGAAAACACACTCTCATATATCTGTGTATTTGTACACAGTGTTTGTGTGTGTGTGTATTTATATGTATGTTGGTGGTATTATGGATGAATCTTATTTATTTTCAAATTTACTTTGGATAATTGAAAAAAACGTTCCATCAGGAAGAGAAGTTCTCTATCGCCCTCTGCTGGTTGGTAAAAGTGTAACGTGGCTCTATTGTCTTCATCTTCTGCAGGGACGGATCGGTGTGGGTTAAAGATTAATTCCGTGGCTGAGACAAAAGATAATAATTGAGAGTGGTCCAAAGAGAGGTCCCCACCTTGTCACTCGTGCCAAACATTTGCCCCCCCTCCCCCACCCCACCCCCCCAGTCTCCTGTAACTATGAAACTGTGATGTGATGGTTTAGGTATTTTGAGTCGGAGCCAGAGTTTATGTCTTTCAGAGCTAACTGCTAGCTGTGAGAGCTAGTTACACACCGTGTGTGTGTGTGTGTGCGTGTGTGCGCGCGCAGTCACAAGCAGTGACGTTCAAACAGTGGACATGTTTGACAGCAGCAACAAAGTATTTAAAATGTTAGTACTTTAAGAGAGTACACGTCATAGAGTACGTGACATCAGGACAAAACGGGATCCAAAGTATTGGTTGAAAAGAACACTGCCCCCGCAGGAGAAGCAGGTATAATGCTGCAGATGAACTGAGTGATAGGTCAAAGTGAATGCACTTGAACTGGTCAAACTGGTTTATCTGGTCAAACTGGTTTATCTGGTCTGACTGGTTGAGGGCCCCGTAGACTGAGGACCATGTAGACTGAGGACCATGTAGACTGAGGACCATGTAGACTGAGGACCATGTAGACTCATGTAGACTGAGGCTGAGGACCATGTAGACTGAGGACCATGTAGACTGAGGACGGTGCTGAGATTTAGAGACTGACCCAACAGGCTGGTAGACTTCCGTAGACCTGATTCAGATCTGTTGAAAACTGGAATGTAGCGTCAGATCTCAGAAATAAACAATCGTCCCTCTGATTGGTCGACTCCTCTGAACCTCCACTCAAACTCCAAATACACCCATTGTCCTTGACTAAAATTAACCCCGCTAAGACCAGTGACTGTTGTTTGGTGGAACTTGAACTCTTTCTAAATCCCCGTTAATACCCCCCCTCCC